TACTTCATGTACAGTTTATTGAGACTAGATCCTAGCTTTAAAGAAATACTTACTGACCATTGTATATGCCTCTACAATTTCCTTTAGAACTACCTTTTCCCGATTATTCACCTCCATTGGAAAATGTACCAAGAGAGTCTGCTTCAGAAAGTGAACGATGAGTGTGAAGGGAAGATAACAGTGGCAGGAGATGCTCGCCATGATTCGATGGGGCACAATGCAAAATATGGCGCATACTCAGTATTGTGTTCTGACATAGCCAAGATCATACATTTTTCACTTGTCCAGGTAAGTAAAGTACATATTTCATGTAGACTTAACACTGTTAACATTTATGTGTTTTGAATATTAAAATTTAACGTCAAGGAAGATATTGACGACAAGACAAATTGCTTCAGGTCAAATCTCAGTTTTTGTTTTTGCCTTCTAGAGAAATCAAGCAGATAGCAGTAATGCGATGGAATATGTTGGTTTCAAAAACTGCATGGAATTCCTTTTGGAGGAAAATGGCCTGCCGATTAGTACTTTTGTGTCAGACAGACATACCTCGATTTGTAGCCACATGAAAAAAGAGTTGAAAGATATCAAGCACTACTTTGACCTATGGCACTTGAAAAAGAGTAAGTACATTGTACAGTTATTGTTTGTTGGTTCAGATACATATATGGCATAAACCACAGTTAAAAYGGAGTTAACAATGATTTGGTTATTTATACAATACCATTGAATTTTGTTGCCTTTGTTGCTGTGCAGAGTATTGCATACAGTAATGTCTACAAGAATTAARCAATATGCTAATCTTCTTCATTATAGAAATAAGGAAAGTCCTTGTCAAATTAGCAAAGGAGAAGAACTGTGAGGTGCTGAAAACCTGGATCAAGCCATGCGAGAACCACCTTTATTGGAGCGCCATGTCGACACAAAGTGGCAAGGGAGACATAATCTGGGCAAAATTCAAGTCATTCCTGAGCCATGTGGTAAACAAACATGATGGCCTTGACGAACCATTATTCAACAAGTGTGGCCATGGACAGATTAGGGACAGAACATGGTTGGAAAAAGGTGGYTATTATATTGTGATGCTTAGTGATAAAAAAAGGGAATTCACTACATCTCTGGAATTTAACTTGTTTCTGGTTCTGTGTTGTGAAATTTACAAAATGTTGGGAAATACATGTAAAGCAATGACCATTCAGAAATCATTTACAGAAATAGTGCCTATCTATGTTATTTTTTGCTTTTTTATCTTGTGTAATTTTACTTCTTGTGTGTTTATTCTACCTTTTCAGTAAATATCTCATTATTATGGGCATATTTTCATTATGATGGCCATTAACTTATACTATTTACCTATTAACAAAAGCATTGATTTCAAATTCAACTTCAACACTGAATTCTTTTTTTCCAATTAATGCATTAGGTTCAGTAGCACATGATAAAATGGTGGCAGAACTAACCAAAGCTAGCCTTATCAGAGGCATAAAACAAGCATCTCCACTTTACCAGACAAGTGGACTGGAAGGCTTTCATTCTGTTGTCAATTTCTTCGCTCCAAAGATGATTGCATTCTCATATGTTGGAATGTACTGCAGGTGATGGAATCATTGTTTAAAAATAAAACCATTTATGTACATATAAAAGAAAATACACAATGACAAAATCCATRTTAGAGCGACAGGTTTATGAAGAGCACTCTATAACAGCAACGATTGGCTCACATCATTTTACTACAATGTTTTCTTTTTCTACAGACATATCTTGGCAATTTTACACTTCAACAGCAATGCATATAGGGACATAAAATACAAGCCAGATGGTACAGAACAAGTGAGAGTGTCGTATCCAAAGTTCAAGTATGGAGAAGCAACCGTAAGAAATGTTCGCGTGGCTAAGAAGTTTGGTAAGACATGACTCAATGTCAGACTCAAGACATGACTTTGAAATTCTGTACATGAAATTGAGCAATACATAAAACAAATACAAACATGAGTCTGAAAACTAAGACAAAAAATATTACCTCAGATGTTTGCATTATAATTTGTGATGCTACTATAACATTGAAAATGACTATAAGCACCAATGAATAGTGTAATTTTGACACTGATAGAAAAAA